CGTCAATGTGCCCACCTCGATCACGGCGTGGTCGCCCGGCTGTCCATCCATCGATCATTCATCGAAGCATCGTTTCCCTGTAAGCTGGTCTCCCGTATACCATCCCCCAAATATGAGCTAGGCGCTAGCCGAGAAAGTTCGCCAGTCAAAGCCGTTATTGTGCTCATTATCCTCCCGGGGGTAGGGTGAGAGATTGCAGTTAGGGAGCGCTGATGCTGATGCTGTTGCTGATGGTAACGGGTATGTGTATAGTGGCAGTATATAAAGATAGGGGATGAATGAGGGAGGGATATCACATGGCCTTCTAATTCTCCTATATTCTGTATTCCATACTCCTATCCTCGCTTCTCTTCTTGCAAACTCAGGTCCTACGTCAAGAACATGAATGATGTAAAAGCAGTCAAGTCAAGTAAGTATACACGTCACGCTTACCTATTCCAAGAAGCGGAACAGAACCCACTCGCACGATAAGAATAAGTAACCATACCTGCAACTCTTCCTATCCTACCCCGTGAGTTGGTCGTGACCTAGATGCATCCATCAAAGCCTCACATCCGAACCAATCAATAATCAATCAAGCAAGCAAGCTCCATATTTATTTCGTATACAAGCTTGAAAGGGGGGGTATAAAAAGGGGGGTTTCTTTACTTTTATGGATTGATCGCTCTTTCCTGCTTTATTTTTTCTTCTCACCGCGCTCGCTCGCTCTTCAGCATGGGATGGGATGGCATGGCATGGACAGATTGATAGATTGAGATCAAGTAAGAGCCAAGCCAGGCTACGAATCTCTTCGGCACAGGTAGCATACAGCATACATACATACATGTGTGAATTGAATTTCATTGAATACATGCAAAACTCGCATCAAACAGTATCATTTTCGGGAGCGGGCGGTCGGAATACACCTAATGGTATAGACTAGACTCGATGAGACTATATGTAGTTCGAATACACACACACACCCATATATACAAACATAGCTTTCGCCCAAGTATGCTTGCTGTCCAACTCCTTTTCGATTCCTTCTTCTGCCATATCAAGAGAAATCGCACCAGCCTCTCCGAAAGAAAGCGTATTACAGTATTCGATTACCTCAAGAGTACCACTATCATATTAAAAAAAAAGAACACCCACTCACTAGACAGATACCTAGGTATAGCAAGCCGCGGAACCCACCTCCCAAAGCGGCACACCCCGCCCAGCCAAGCAGCCCAAGAGAGAAAAACACCTCCATCAAAACCATCTACTTACTAACAGAAACGCGACGAAAAGAGTCTACGCTTGCCAAAAAAAAAAAAAAAAAAAAAAAAAATACTCGCTTCACAGATATTCCCGTCTCGTAAATTAGAAACACAGAGAAGGTTACCTGTCTATTCGCTACGAGTCCACAAACACGGCGACGTAATGAGAACCCGTGCTTGTAGCTACGTAGTAGCTAGCGAAATCCTAACCGTTTCCAAGTAAATCAATTGTGAACTTACTACCGGTACTACCGGTACTACTACTACTACTACTACGTACTGTAGGTATGTCCGTCTCGAAAAACCTTAATAAACTACAGCTCCAAATATATATATATATATCTAATTTTTTAAACCCCCCTCCCCCACCCCCACCCCCACCCCCACCCCCCACACGTCGTCAGGAAATACCACGGTACAGGCCTAAGTATTACCCCTCGAGGTTGCCTTAAAAGTTTAGTTTCCACTTTAAACCCCCTGTTTTCCCTACCCTCGAGGGGTAATACTTACGCCTGCGACGTAGTACGTAGTAGCAGTAGCAGTACCTACCTTACCGTACA